TTCTTTGTATTCTTAAATTATTAGTGCCATGGTTTTTCTTCAGCTTTATTGAGATATATTTGACAAATAACACTGTAAACTTAAGATGTAGAGTGTGGTGATTTGATATACATATATATTGGAAATGATTGCTACAATAAGGTTAGTTAACTTCTAAAGAGAAAACCACAGGCCCAAAATGGCATCACTTGTGCTAAAGCCCATGACACCAAACCCAGATTTAATACCTGACCTAATTGCTGTTTCAGCCTCTCCCAGAAACGTAACCTTAATCAACCAGTCTGGAATTTTCTGGTCAATACCTACAAGGTCATCTGTCACATGGGCCCTCTTCATTTTTCCCTGGCCTCCTCCTCCATAGAAAGAAGAGACAATCTTGATGATAAAACCCCTTGCCATTCCCTTCCCCTCAAAAGAAGATGTCTTTGACTAAAAATAATTATTTCTTTTCTTTTGCTAATAACCCCTTGCCACACCCTCTTGCCTATAAAAACCCTCCATTTTGTACAACCTCTCTGAGCCTCCTACTAGTTGCTAGATGAGATACCGCTCTATTTATGAATTGCTTAATAAAGCCAATTAGATCTTCAAATTTATTCAGTTGAATTTTTTATTTTTTATTTTTGATATAAGACATCCATCACCTTACAGAGTTACCTTTTCTTACTGAGGTATAATTGACATATAACATTAATTTATTTTTTGTGTGGTGATATGGTATTTATTTTTGAGTTTTAAATTGGTCAAATTCATTTTTCCTGATGCCTAGCCTTATCTTAAACTTCACTTCCGCATAGCATAATTTACCCCTCAACTTTGAAAAATCTTTTCTGATATCTATTAAATTCTTTGGTTTATGGTCAGGGCCAGGTGGTCTGCATGCTACAGTGATATTGTGGCTAGAAATTCATTCTCTGTCCTAGCTTTCATAGGATATCAAGCTGTAATAATTGTTAAGTATATGTGACATTTCAGAAGGATCATGTCTGGCAATGGAGTATCAAACCTACCCATTTTCTTGAATTGAACAAGATAATACCCCGAAGTTGCTGAGCTTGAAAGGAAAGGAGGTCACAAAGAGGCCACAGCAGGGTGAATCTTTGGTCCCAAGTCTGGAGACAGCCATGGCACCATTACAATATCAACCCTGCGCGCTCGCGCGCGCGCTCTCTCTCTCTCTCTCTCTCTCTCTCTCTCTCTCTCTCTCTCTCCACACACACACACACACACACACACACACACACACACACACACACACACACCCTTACTCTCTTAGCAACTTTTAAATATACAATACAATATTGTTAACCATAGTCACCATGCAGTACATCACTTCCCCAGGACTTATCCTTTTACGTCTTTAAGATGTCTGTCTATTGGTAAGTTGAAGTCTTGATTTTAATATAGTTAAATTTATTTATTCTACCATCAGTGTCTTTTTTTAAAAATTATTTCTACTCTCAACATCTAAACTATTTTTACCTACATTTTTCACTAAGAACTTTAAGGATTTTTTTTTTTTTTTGACATTTAAGTCTTAGATCAATTTGGAGTTGATTTTAAAATTAAGACTCAATTTAAAATTTTTTTCTATATGAATAACCATTTTTAAATGAACATTTCATCTTTTCTCCACTGATCTGTGTTATGGACTGAATGTGACCCACTCTCCTCCATCTTTATATACTGAAGCACTGACCCCCAACGTGATAATGTTAGGAGGTGGGGCCTTTGGGAGATAATCAGGCCTGGATGACATTATGAGGGTGGAGCTCTATGATGAGGTTAGTGTCTTTATAAGAACAGGAAGAAACACCATATCTGCTTCTCTCTGCTATGTGAGGGTACAGCAGTCTGCAAGCCAGGAAGAAGGCCCTCATCAAGAATGCAATCTGCTGGCACCTTGATCTTGGACTTCCCAGCCTCCAGAATTGCAAGAAATAAATGTTTGTTGTTTAAGCCACCAGTATATGGTATTTGTTAGAGGAG